TATAAAACCATATTTTATTATTAATTTTACTAAAATCATTATCAAACCACTTCGATAAAAATTACCGAGCTTTCGTGTATTCCCATTGAGCTAATACACCAAATCAGAAATAATTAATAAATGTGAGCTTTAAACTCAAGTCGAATTTGATTTGCATTCTGTGTGTATATACGAATCAGTTAAAGTGAAAAGAATTGCATATTCAAAAATGAAAAGATAAAAAAATAATATATGGTTATTACTGAAGGAGGCGGTAAAATTAATTTAAAAAGATTCCAACTCGAAGCAGGTCTCTATTTTCAAATTAGTTTTTATCTCATTATATATAGAAATAGAAAAAACAGGTTTGAAAGTAAATTGTTGTCTTTTTCTTTCTGGTACTTTAATGTGATTCGAAAGAAAATTTTGTGCTTATTCAGTAACTGAAATAAGCTTTTTGAAGTATGCTTATTACGTCATATAATAGATTATTATATGACGTAATAAGCATATTTCATTTTACAGTTCTTGAAACGAATTTCTAACCTACAATTTTATTTCAATTTTGAAAAGTTCAGATTATTTTAATTTCCTTTAATCTGGGTTTAAAGTTAGTTATTTATTTTCCTTTTTTTTAAGATTATGTAAAAAATTTTAAGACTACGGCAAATTATATTTTCAATGTTTATTATCCTAAGTTTTGTAAAGATGAAGAAAAAAATAGTGCAATGTAGTTTGTTTTTTTTTCATCTGATGACGCTGGAAATTTTGGATCGAAAATTAAAATAAAAATATTAAAAAAAAGTTTATATCTTACCTGAATTAAAAAAAAAATTATTCGTGTCAAAAATATATAAATAGGAAATAACAATCGACATGTTTTAAAGCCCATTTTCAAGATTTGCCAGACGAGAATGAGAACAAAAAAAAGGGATTTGACAAACAAACGAAAAGTGACCAACAAATGTAAAACTAAAGGTAAGAAATAAAACTTGAAAAAACCACTGTAGCTGAGAGAGAAAAAACTGAAAATAGTATAAGAAAAACCACGGTGACTGAGAGAGGTGAATTAGGGTAAAATGCATTTCCATGCGCTATGGAGAGTTGGTATGAACTAATGTCGTTAGCAAAGGAATCAGCATTCATGTGAATAAAATAATATTTCAGGGCATCAACATGAGTGGATTTAACCATAGTGAAAATAATTTTAGCATTGACGAAATTGAATTTATTGATTGCTTGTTTTTGAGCGCTGCGCTTGAAACATGACAACTAGAATTTCCTATTTATATATTTTTGAAGCGAATGAAGTTTTCATTCAGGTAATATCGTACCAGCTCAGTTTCTTGGAATTATTTATTTAATGATATTTTCTACCTCAAATTTTAAGAAAAGAAAAACTAGAATTCAAAATCTCAGAATACATTGAACTAACTAGAATTAATTAATGTCTAATAATATTAATTTAGCATTTTTGACTGTTTTCAAGCTTTAAATCTAAATTTATAAATTGTGTAATATCTTTTGAGACTGTTAGTCGCTTGACTTTTTAATTTTTTGCAATTTTGTTTGATCTAAAGAAGTATAATGTTTCACTTTAAACTGAAATTATTTAATTCCGTTGGGACATTTTTTTAACTCTTTTGGACAGTGAGTATCAGTTGTAGTTTCATTTTAATAATATAAACAAATTAGCTCAAATAATATTGAATAAAAAATTAAAAGAATTTATTTTTAAAAGCATGTGAACAAATTGCTCTGAGATATTTATAGTCTGAAAATAAATATTTCAATTTATCCTTCCTTGCTGATATTCAATTCATAATATAATTCATTATTTTCTTTAAAAAAATTATATTTAAATTAAATCTTGTCAAATGTATTGTAAAAAATTGCTGTAAAAAGTGCCAGCACTCAGGGTGCCTGTACTTTTTACCGTAAAATCTATTTTTATTGGAACATATTACGGAACAAAAAATCTGATAACGTCATTTTTACAGTAATAATTACCGTAAAATCACTGAATTACTCTAATTAAATAAATATTACTGTAAAAATTGCGGTGTAGTATTTTACAGTAAAGATGGATTTATGAATGATACACCTGTATTTTATACCGTAATGTAATCCGGAATTTTTTATAACGTATAATATATTTTATTAGCTAGTATTTGGCTTCATTGCTGACTATTTTACTTTATTTGCAGACATATAAACTTTACTTGCTAACATAATAATTTCAGACCTAAACTTATAAGTATATTTCGTTTTTAAATTATATTAACCAAATTTTATAAAATACATTATTTATTTTAATTTGACTGATTAATTATTAAAACGTATATATTTATTCCAAAATTATTATAATTAAGTATTATATATTTCATTTTTATTTCCAACGTGAAGAGCATTAGTTGAACAATGACTAGATATTAATATTACAGGCAAGTAACATATGTTGTAATATAATTTTATTTTAATATGAAATGAATAATTAAAAGATAAGTAATAAAGATTTCTGCTGTAGAAAAAATTATCTGCATAAATAATTATGAGTCTTAGTAATGCATAGAAAAACTTTTTCTTGAAGATATCGGAAATTTTTTTATTGTGGTATATCTTCACGAAATTTCGCTATTTACCTCTAATATATTACGATATATTAGCGCGAAATATTAACATTGCAAAATACTGCATGATATATCGTCAAAACTATTGCTATTTCCTTTTGATATATTGCTATAGATTGTCCTTAAATATTAATATTCCACAATATATCATGGTATAATACAATAAAATACCAATATTCTTTTTTAGCATATATTGCAATACATTGACTTGAACTAATGAATTTCACAATACATCACGTATATATTGCAGTATATTAGCCTGAAATATTAATATCGCAAAATATATCACGATTACTGCAGTATGAAAAAAATAATCTACATAAATAATACTAAGTTTTAATAATACATGGAATAGAAAAAAAATTCTCAAAAATAGCGGAAATTTTTTAATCGCGGCATATTTTCAAGAAATATCGTTATTTGCCTCAGATATATAACGATTTATTACCTTAAATATTAACATTGCAAAATACATCATGATATAATGTCAAAAACTTCGCGATTTCTTTTAGATATATTATTATAGATTGCGCTTTAATATTATTATTTTACAATATATCATGATATAACGCAAGAAAATATCAATATTTTCTTAACGTGTATTGCGATACATTGACTTGAAATATTGAACTTTACAATACATCGTGTGCATTTTCAAATAATGTCTACAATTTCTTTCGATACATAATAATATATAGGCCAGATATATATATGTTTTATAATCTATCATCAGGTATGTACCTATCACCTATATGTTTCATATTCTTTCATCATGATGTATCATCATGATATATCATTAGGAAATATTGATATTTCCCCATGCATTGCGATGTTTTTCTTGTTTAACTAACTTTATCGACACTCATGGTAATATCGTATTCTATAATTGTCGTTATTGATAATACTCGTTACAACTCACAATATCTTATTCTATATTTATCGTACAGCAAGGCATTCACGATATATGAGAAGAGTGATTTCTAAAATATTTTTATTTGCGATTTTTACAAAATAACGATGTTTCATAATACAGGGGTGATTGTGCTCCGGAAAAAATTCGGATTTCCGGATTTTCGATCCGAAAGTTTCCGGAAATCCAAAGTCCAGAAGTTTCAAGAAATCATCGATCACATTTATATATAAAAAGTCTTGTATATTTTATTTAGAAATATTAGAACTAGAATTTATACTTGGCATCTCTTTCATTTGTAAATATTTTTTCTGGTAGAATAATAAATGTGATTAGAGATAAAAGTAAACTTATACATAATTATTCATTTAAATTATGCAGCATGTAATTAATTTAGAATAAGATGTTTTGAAAATTTCAATGATTTAAATTTATAAAGATATTAACTTTTTGAATGATTTTACTCAAGAAATTTTCAGGATTTTTGAGTTGAACCCACAATCACCCCTGATAATTTGAACCTATATATTTCCCATCTCTATAAGGAACAAAGAAAGACAGTAGTACAAGAAAAAGTTAGTATCGTTCGTATTATTATCGTCGCTACACTGAAAAAAATGTGTGGTCAAAGCTACCAGGATATGACTACATTTACCGCTTTTCTGACTCTAAGGGAACACCAAAAAACTTGGTAATTTTTACCGAAGCTAAAAAAAAAATAATTAATATGTTTTTATATGTGCAATAAAATTTTTATTGCTTAAATACCACTTATTCGGTTAAATTTAATTTTCAAATTTGTATTTACTAAAGGGAGGTAATCAGAATTATATATTTGAAATCTAGAAGTTCTGGTAAACGGTTACCACATAAACGGTAAAAAGTACTGAATGAATGGTTTAAATACCGCACATTTTGGATTTATTCACTTGAATAATTGTTGTTTTCTCCAAAATATTTCCAAATTATGCATTTTACCAGAATTTTTTCTCTGTGTACCATTTTGTATAAAAATAAATAATATGAAAAAGAGCCAAACACGCTGTAAGACTTGAAATTGTTTTCTGAAGCCTCTCCAATCAAAATACTATTTTGCTTCACTTTTTTGTTTTGGAACCAGATGATATGTAAACAAAACACAACTCCTTTTTCATTGAAAAACCTTTTTTTTCCAGTTATCTCCTATTGAAAAAAAATTTCATTGAAACTGTTTTGTGAAACCTCTCAAATGAAAATACTATTTCGTTTAACTTTTTTGTTATGGAGCCGGATTGATATGTAAACAAAACACAACTTCTTTTTCATTGAAAAACCTTATTTTCCAGCTATCTCCTATTGAAAAAAAAATTCCAACATCTCAAGAAGTAAAGAAAAAAAAGAAAGAAAAAAAATTTATATAAATTATGTAAGCAACGAAAAAAGAACGAAAAAAAAGAGTGACTGTAGGGAGGGAAGGGGAAGAAAAAATACGAGAACTTGAAGAACAAGTTCCTCTCCATCAATGTTATTAAGATTCCAGGTAGAATCCCCCATCCCCTCACCTGTTGCATGTTCGCCCGGAGGTAGTTGGTCTACCAACAGAAGAGTCCGTGTCGCCGACTTCTTCAGATTGGCACGAGTGTTGAACGATACTTTTAAAAAACTCGTGCCAAGGATTCTACTGTCGTTCCAATAATCCTTACATTCCTGTGGATTATTTTGACAACTTATTTGTGAATGTTTTCCGGATTTAGAGATGATGTTATTAAAAGAAAGTTGAAGTTATAAAAAAACGTTGATTTCGAAGAAGAAAATCTATTGTGTTATTGGTAGATTTGAATGTTGAAACTCAAAATGGAGTTAAATTGTTCGATTGTTTTCGTGCGTTTAGTGCTTGTTTCATTTATTTTGTGTTTTGGATTTCATTTTACTTATTCTCAGGTAAGTTTATTTTTTTATTTTATTCATTGGCAATGAAAAAATTTTAAGTTCTCCCAATTTATTGTTTTGCCATCTACCCCACCCCTTATTTTATAGAGAGCCCTATCAAACTGTATGCTTTATTGACCTATTACTATAGTATAATATTCCTCATAAGGGTATGTGGTTATTTTAATGGCATAATGCACGATAACAATGAGTACACAGTACATGCTGTATTTCAATATTCCTTATTTGTTCGCTTTGTTTATTTACTCATATAGCCTTAATAATATTGGTGATGCAACTTTAATATAGTTGAAACATCATTGCAGAGTATTCTACGTTCTAGAAAATTTTATCGTGATAATGGGTTATTACACAATAACAGACGATTAAGAGGTTTTTGCACTTGTAATAATATATTTTAGCTAAAAAATGCATTACTGATCTTTTTTGAACAAATATTACTTAATAATAATAATAATTTAAACAATAATACTTAATAATAATAATAATTTAAACAAAAATACTTAATAATAAAAATAATTTAAACACTAATACTTAATAATAATAATAATTTCAACAGTAATGCTTAATAATAATATTTAATAAAAAATTACTACGAATTTTATTTAAATAAATAATGTTATGTAAAAAGTTTTTGGATTCTAGTGAGAAAAAATTTGCATGTAATAAATTATTGAAAAACGTTAACCGTAACACATTTTTCTTTTTTAATATTTTGTTGATTTTTAATAATTGTGCTATCGATTTTTTAAATATAAATAGGAAATTATGCATAATTAATTGCACAAAAATCTTTATTAAAACAACTTACTCTATTCAAAACAAAAAATATTTGCAATAAATGCATGTTACAATTTTAGAACACTGAATACAATGTTGCAATCGTCATAATTTACGTATAACCCTTTATGATCCATATATTATAATAAGTACCTACTAATAAATAGCTATTATATAGTATGTATTATTATAATAAATACATACTATATAATGAATACCTACTAATGAGAAAAACTACAAAAATTGAAAATATTTTAAAATAAATTCTATTTTACTTTTTTGAAAAACGCCACTTAACGAATAACTTAACGAAAGATAATTTTTTTATGAAAAAAAGCAGGGGATAAGATTGAAAATGTGATGTGAACTTAATTTTAAAATAATGCTATTATGTACAATGTACACTGAACAAAAAAAAAATTATATTATTAAAACTTTCTATGCTTAATAGATGTATGATTTATAACTATATCTTTTAGTAAAATAATCTAAAATAAAAGGAAAGTATTTATTTTAAATTATACTTAAATAAAATTGCACATAATAATGATATTAAAGCTTTAAAAGACCAAATGATTTTACACCATTCACAAACAGATTTTAAAGTGAAATTACATACCTAATTGGGGAAATCAAATTTATTTATTTATTTGATTATTTTTATTTATTTATTTCCTATTCACACATTTTTCATTTCGTTAAAGACAGCTGAATGAAATTCGGAATCTATATTTAATCCTTAATTTGTTTTTTATTTAACTTAAGCGAGAAAGATTTTCTGATTCTTAAATACTAATTTTTTAAAAAGATGAATTATGAAAGGTTATAATTACGGAATAATTCAAATTTTAAAATTGTAGATATAGCTACTGGAAAGAAACTAAATTATAAAATGTTTGGTTGTTTTAAAAAATAATGTTTTTTTCGAAAAAAAAAAACTTCAAGGAATAGAGAGTACATTTAAGATTTTAAGAACAAGAAAAAGATAATTTTAATTTTTGGAATTCTTCAATTCCTTTAAATTCTTTTAAAAATTCTTTGAACAATTTAATGTCTATATATATTTTTCAAGACGCATAAAAATTTCTTTATCAATTACTTTCGATTTTTGCTCTTGAATTTGTTTTTAATAATTTTTGGTTTCACTTAAAAATTTTAGAATCTTTTAGTTAATTTGCATATTTTAGTTAAAGTTATTTGCATATTTTAGTTAGAAGTTAAATTTGCATATTTTTCTTTTCAAATAAATATTAAAAATACATTTAAAAATTTAAAATTCCTTTTCAGAATGCAAGCTAAAATGAAAAATAATTAAAAAATTTCAACTATTAAAACATAATATTTTCCTCTTCTAAAGTTTTATTTTATTTTAAAAGTAAAATTTAGAAGATTAATTTAGAAGATTAATTAGCATATTTGAGTACTTATTAAGCAGTACAATAGCACAAGGGGTACATTAAGCGGCACGTTTGCAGACATCTTTAAAAATTTTAAGATATGTTACGAAGATGAGTACCGGTTCTTCTTGAGTGCTAAACAAGAAATATATAAAAGAAAAGAAAAAAAAATCACGTGATTTTTGACGAAACGCGAACTCACCAATGTATAACAAAACTATCTCCTCATTTGTATATCATCCCAAAGTATTCTGAAAGCTCACCGCATTTTTTTATTTAATTTTAAAGCCATTTATAAAGTTTGACAGGTTGGTACAAGGCTTAATGCATTCTCTAATTAAGCAGATTTTCCTAGCTTGAATCCTGGTGAGACCTCGTGTTCACCTTTTTATTTATTATGTATTTTCTAATAAGTTGTTTTCAGGGTTATTTAAATTGTTTTTGGCGAAGTTTATGATATTAAAAATAAAATAAAAAATAGTAATTTTTTTCCATTAGACGAAATTTTTATTATGAACATTTTACAGTAATAGGTTTCATCAACAACGAAGAAAATTTTCATTTTTTTCTTTAGCTCCAAATGAGGAAAAAAATATATACTCTGTGCTATGCGTGAATAACTCTATAAAGCATGAATAAAGCACAAATAATAATATTTTTGCTTTATTCTTATTACTTTAGGTGTTTGACAGTTTACAAACCACACCATGAAATATAAATAAATTATAGCAGGAATTCCACTTTAGCTTATTTGGAATGCTTCAAATTGATAAAAGATAAGCCCAACTTAGGAATCACCATTTCCTTTTAATGATGGTTGAATATTCCTCCATCAGCAATCATGCAATTCACTGCTTGTTGGAGCAATGAACACCAACCAGTGGTACCAAACTTGAGTTTCCTGTTCACCGCTATTCAATGTCTGTTAATTTTTTTTATTCGAATAGTTAGTTACTTTTTCGCCCTTGATCTCCTTGGGGCATTCTTTAGTTTCCGCGTCCACCAAATGAAGTTATTTTTAATTGTTTCGATATTAGATCAATTATTTTTCTTAGTTTAGATGTCTCCTGATTAAATTAAAATGGCGATGATAATAAACGATGCGTCATTTAATGTTCTTATTAAACTAAAAATAGCGCACTGAAAACTGTGTTTACTGTAAAGGACAGTAAAAGAATTAACTTTTAATTCTGCTCCTAATTTTATAAGAGCACTTCTCGAGGTGGGAGAACAATAATGTTAACTACAGCTAATATAGAATTATATTGATACTTTTGTTCTATCTATTACACATTCACTATTGATACAAAATAGTTTTCTATTTAAAAATGGGCACTCAATATTTTTTTTAATAAATTTTCGATACCTCAGATTATCTTAGACAATTAATTTACGAGAATTAATATCGGAATTGTCATCGTGACGCAAGTAGTGCACTTAAAAGAGGGTTTCTGAAAATTGAGCAAAAATGTTTCAAAATAGAGCCGAAATAAACAATATTCAAATTTGAAAACCCCATGTATTCAATTGAAATTAGTTTGTAACAACGAGTAATTATTTATTTTGTGAAATAATGTTTTTTTTTGGAATTACTTCCAATAAAACATTCCAATTAAAATTCATATTTATTATAAAAATCTTTTTTTTTTGTTAGAAAATTTTTAAAAAATATATAATTCTGTACAGCTAGTTAAAAAATGAATGCAAGAATATCTTTAAAAAAAGCAGTTAATTATTTGAATAAAAACGATTCTTAGCTTGGAAGACTTTAAAGTCTTTAAAATCATTTAGAAAAAGCTTTTTTATCCAATAATGTTTTGCTTGAAAGCATTCAATTGCTATCAATTCTAAATTTCATACTTAATATAAAAGCATGTTTCCAGCTTCATAAATTTAGTAACATTTTCTTTAACTTTTATTCTAGCAAAATTATAATAATTATAACTATTATTACTGAAAGAGGTATTTGGATGTTTTATATTGCATGACTCTCAATCTCAATATATATATAAACTATTTCAGTTTTTTTTATCAATGAATAAACGCAATAGGGCAATTTTTTTATTATAACCCTCCTGATCTATATGAAACATTTAATAATTTGTTAATTAAAAAATAATAGTAATTTCATTTCACAAAATTTAGAATTAACAATGTTTGCTTGGACTATTTGAAAAATTTTTCAGTCCAATACATTAAAGATTGTTTAGACACTGCATATGTCAATAATAAAAGCACTGATCAAAATACATTTCAGTTTCATTCAAGCTTGAAATGTTATAATTTACATTCCATTGATTTACATTTCAATGAAAACAATTATATTTGAAAGCTTTTGATTAATGTTAAAATAAGTATGTAAAGTGAAGCAATAAAATAAAAAATTTTTTTAACAACATTGGCATTTTTTATGAGGAAAAGCCTTTAGAAAAAACTATCCAAAAAACACATTTGCAAAAAAAAAAAAAAAAAAAAAAAAATGTTATCTAAGACCATTTAACCCAAACAGTTATGGGAATTTTCCTGGAAAGAAATTACACGTTTCCTCTTAACTTGAATATAATATAAATATGTATCTTTTTAACTTCCGACTTACACTTTTTACACAGAGTTAATACACACAATTCAAAATCTGCTATCATTTCTTCCCACTTAAATCAAGATTAAGATCTGTTTACCTTGTATTTAAATATGCTGTCTGGCTTCTTCCTCAAATTCGTTCGATTGAAATTAATGATAATAGATTTTCCGATTATATCAAAAGTAAATTTTTTTTTCTGTCTTTATTACATACTGTCTTTGTCAATTTTTTTT